TTATTAAGAGTGAAGATAATTGGCTGGGCCTGGCAGTCCCCTGTTTTGCCTTCTTTACTATCTTCCTTGGCCCTTTGTTCTTGGGCTATCAGTGTTGGGTGCCCACCTCAACGGGTGGCAGATGAAGTCATTGGGAGCCAGGCTTGCAAGATCTACCCATAGCATGAGCCTCTTTGGGGATAAAAACCCAGTTGCCATTTAGTCAACTCTGACTCATGGTGAGCCCATGTGTGCAGAGTAGAATTGTGCTCCACAGGGTTTTCAGTAGCTATGGCCTTTCGGAAGCAGATCACTAGGACTTTCTTCCAAGGTGACTCTGGATGGGTTCGAACCACCAACCTTTCGGATGGTAGTTGAGTGCTTAACTGTTTGCCCCACCCAGGGACTCTTTGGGGATAAAAAAAAAAAGCCGTTGCTGTCGAGTCGATTCCAACTCATAGTGACCTTATAGGACAGCGGAGAACTGCACCATAGGGTTTCCAAGGAGCGCCTGGTGCATTGGAACTGCCAACTTTTTGGTTAGCAGCCGAGAGCTCTTAACCACTGCGCCACCAGAGGCTGCTAGTTTGCTAGACCTCCACTCATGCTAATAGGCATAGACCCCATTTCGTGACTGCCCAGGTCCCACCAGTGGGGAGGCCCAATAAATCACATCTGCTTTCTTCTCTCAAATTTAAGGTTTTAAAGGGCAAAGACCACAATCATCTGTTCATCCAGGGCCTTGCACTTGTTCAGTGTATTTCAGCTCCACCTTTCTCTCTCTCTCTCCTTTTTATCTCTTTCCTTCTCTTTCTCTCTACCTTTCTCTCCTCTTTCTTTCACTCTCAAAGTACAAATTATAGGAGAAGTGTCCAAACATATTTGCTGGACCAAACTGAAATGCACTGCAGGAGTTTGGGGGTCACGACTCATCCCCAGGCTCAGCACCAGGAAATGTGCCTGATGAGTAAGACTGCAGAGCGGCCAAGGGCCTCAGGGATTTGGGGCAGCGGAAGGGGCAACAGATTACACACTGCAGTCCATCTTCTGACCTGGAGCGCGTGTCAAAGCAGAAGGCTGGCACAGTGGCTGTGAGCAGGGCTGGGAGCCCCAGCCAGCCGCCTGGCCTGTTCCCGACTTCTGAGTTCTCCTGGGCCACCTCCTCCCTGTGCAGCTTGATGGGGCCCTCCCGGGCTGGCCCGTCCCACCCCAGAGCCGCGCTCTCAGGCAAAGTGGAACGAGGAGACTATCGTTGTGTGCTGTCAAGTTGATTCCGACCCGTGGCGACCCCATGTGGCAGAGTAGAACTGCCCCATAGGGTTTTCTAAGCTATAATCTTTACAGGAGCAGATTGCCAGGTCTTTCTCTCGTGGAGCTGCTGGGTGGGTTCGAATCACCAACCTTTAGGTTAGCAGGTGAACACTTGACCATTGCACCACCAGGGCTCCTTGGAATGAGGGAAAAATGGCATATAAATCAGGGACAACTCACTCAGTGGGCAGCCCCGGAACAGTCACCGGCCCTGCCAGGGCCTCACCTTAGCATCTGTGAAGCTGGGTATTGACGGAGAATTAAAAACCCAAAAAAACCAGACCCACTGCTGTCTAGTCGATTCCGACCACGGCGACCTCACATGTTACAGAGTAGAACGGCCCCACAGGCAGTTACTTGGCTTCATCTTTAGGGAAGCAGATTGCCAGGCCTTTCTTCTTCCATGCTGCCGCTGGGTGGGTTCGAACCACCAACCTTTCAACTAGCTGTCAAGTGCCAGTGAAACAAAAATATATGACAGGAAAAAAAGGCTTCCAAAACCCAAGTAGAAAGGCTTGGAGTGACTTCAGATGGTGGCTGCTGGCCCAAGCTGTGCTTTTACAGTCTTATCTGTTTTCTTCCTTATCTAGCCACGGTACTCCAAGCCACCAGAACAAGTGAAAGTATAAAGAAAACATTTGAGAAGTAAGAGACATAGATTTGCTGGCTTTGATGGCTTGGACATTTACCAAGAATACCATCTGTGATTTTTTTTGCCGTTTAATTTGAGGGGGAAAAGTATGAGAGAAAAAAGAAAGAAATGGTCCCAGTCAGGGGTTTGTGGGAGGGTTGGCGTGAGGGGAGAGGGCTGAGGAGGTAGGAGGAGACCCAGAAAAAGCAGTTAGAACCCCACCTCCTCTGCAGCACCCACCACTGATAGAGCTGAGGGGACCCCAAACTGACATTGCCTCTCAAACGATGTCGTTGTTGTCAACCATCCAGTCGGCCTCCGACTCATGACAACCCCATGCACAATGGAAGGCAATGCTGCCAGCTCCTGCACCATCCCTGATGTGATCCACAGGGTTTTCTTTGACCGATTTTCCGAAATAGATGGCCAGGCCTTTCTTTCTAGTCCATCTTAGTCTGGAAGCTCCTCTGAAGCCTGTCCAACATCATAACAACACACAAGCCCCAGCTGACAGACGGGTGGTGACTGCATATGAGGTGCACTGGCTGGGAAATGAACCAGGGTCTCCCACGTGGAAGGTGAGAATTCTACCACTGACCCACCACTGCCCCCTCTCACTATAGATGGTACAAGCTTGAAACATTCAGTGTGGGGGTAGGGGGTGGGGAGGTGAGCTTTCCTTGAGCTTGTTGCTGGGAGCTGGGAGGTGCACTTAACTCTCTGCCCCAGCAGTCACCCTGCCAAGAGGTAGGCTCTCGTGAACTTTTACTCCCCACACCCGCCCCCCAGCCCGGTCTGCCTACATGCCTCTTCTTTGCCTTTGCCCTTGGCCTGCCATGTCTACCTCCATCAGGCCCAGGTGAGACCCTGTGGGTTGAAGAGGGTGCTGACCTCATGCTCCGGCCTATCTCCCCGGGGCCCTGGCCCTTTGGGAAGAAGCTCTGGCGCTGATGTTAACGGGCAGCCCGGGCACCCCGGACACGGGGTCAAGACATAGAGCACACGTACTCATGCCAAGAGGCCCTGAGCAGCACCCCTGTCCCACCTAACCAGACATCTGTCCTGCTGAGAGGTGGTGCTAAAGAAGAGGACACCAACTCTCAGTTCCAGGACACTTCTGGTGCCAGTATGGATGGGGAGGCATCACAAAAGTGTGGGGACCCTTGGACTCTCTCCTTTGGGTTGGGGTGGGGGCTTTAGCCCCATCAGAGACTTTGGGTATGGGCGTTGTGGGATGCCAGAGCAGGTCTTTGAGGCTGTTTAGGCTTGTGGTTAAGTGCTTGGCTGCTAATCCAAAGGTTGGCAGTTTAAACCCACCCAGCGACTCTATGGGAGAAAGAGCTGGCAATCTGCTCTTGTAAAGATTTCAGCTTAGGAAACTCTATGGGACAGTTCTACTCTGTCACATGGGGTGACTATGAGTTGAAATCGACTCGATGGCAACAGGTTCATCTCCTGTAGGATGCACCTGGGCCCACTGAATCCTACTGGGATTTGGGGCCAAAGCCTCAGCTAATAGTAAAATGGTAGGTCGCCATCTTTGTACCTGCATTTCGTGACACACACGTGGAGGGAGAATGGCTCAGTCGGGCAGGACTTCTGTCCAAAGCACCATCTTGCAACCCCATCTCAGCCTCTCCCTTTGGCCACGTGGGACCCTGCCGCGTTCTAGCTCTTTTCACCTCACAGTTACCCTGACGCTTAAGTTTCACTAACTCCTCACTACAAAACAGCACCATTTTCCACGGATGTGCTCACGAACCCCAATTCTCATGGAACCCCAAAGAACCACAGCAGATGACGAGTGTGCTTGAGCAGTGTGAGATGCCAAACTAGGTGGGTCTTCTTAGCCTCCTCAAAGGTTTTCCAGTTTCTTCACTAGAAAATCGGGGTGTCGTGGCCGAGGGGGCTCCCTGCCCACCCCCCCTGTGCCGACTATCATGACAGAGGCCTGGCGTCCTACAGGATTTCATTCCTCCACAGCCAAGAGGCAGATGCTGCCCCCGCAGGCCCCATGGTCTAGAGGGGTGAGGACTCCACTGCATGGGGCCAAAAAGGGTGGTCAGGGTGACAAGGCCTGGCCACTGTCAACACTCCTCTCCCACAGCGCCAACCTGACTGTGCTAACCCGGGTGGTCAGGGGGTTAGTGAGTGAGGGCCAGATGTCAAGTTTCGTCCGTCCTCTTTAGGGGGAAGTGGTGTGCAAAGGTTGGCTGGCTTTGTCTCACCCCTGGGCTGGGAGGGCTTTTTGCCTTTAATTAGACCAAACAAACAAAACAACCAAAAGGCAGTTGTCATCGAGTCGACTCTGACTCATGGCAACCCCATGTACGCAGAATAGAACTGCTCCAGTGGAACTGCTCCATAGGGGTTTCAAGGCTGTAACCTTTTGGAAGCAGATTGCCAGGCCTTTCTTCCACAGCGCCGCTGCCAACCCTTCGGCTAGTAATCAAGTGCTTAACTGTTTGTGCCACCCCAGGACTCCTTAATAAGCCCAAACCCCCCACAACCAAAGAAGCCCTCTTCTATGTTGCACAAGCCCCCCTCCCAACCCCAGGCTCTGAAGGAATCAAGAAGGAAATAAGATACCAAGAATGGCTGCATGACTTGAGGAATGGAATCAATGTCACTGACTTGATGTGTAGAAACTGTTGAATTGGTGTATGTTTTGCTATGTATATTGCACCAAAAAATAAATAAAATAAATTATTTAAAAAAAAAAAAAGAAGCAGCAAACCAGGCCACTTTGGGAAGTGCTAACATGTATTTATTTCACAAGGTGAGAGATGGGGAGGGGGCATGACCACCAATAATGCCACCACGTGAGACACTGTGAACTACAAACTGGGCAGCTTTGGGGTTTGGTTCCAGGCAGGGACTGGCCGGGGGCAGCAGCAGGCAGAGAGATGGTGACGGGTGGAAGGGACAGCCTTCCCGTCCGGATACCACGCGGGGCTGGGCCGGTCTATGCCCTCCTGCATGGCCAGCAACAAGCAGCCAAGCCTGGGAGCATCTCAGCAGCCTCGTCCCAACCAGGCGAGCAGTTCAGCGGCAGGCCCACAGCTACGCATCTCGGTCTGCTCTACCACGCGCTCAGCTGCACACACCCAGACACACGCACCCACACGGAGCACGCATGTTTGCGCACACACATACGACACACACACTCCGCCATGCACACCACACAGCACACGGACTCACATGCGTGCACACACGGCCATATATTAACTCTGATTTATAAGTGCACCCTAACCAGAGGGCAATTGGGAAACAAAAAATTATTACTCTTAAGAGCGGAAACGACCGCCTTCCCCCTGTCAACCAGCAGAGCATGGGGTGAGATGAGAGGAATGCAGAACTGCTTCTGGGTTCCTGGCCCTGCTGGGCCAGCCGCAGCCCTGAAGCCCCAGGCGGTGGCCTCCTCTTGCTGCTCTCCCGGGGGGCAGCCTCCATGTCCAGGCTCCCTGGTCCTCACGCAGAGGGCGCTGGCACCCGCAGGCCCCAGCCGCGGCCCCTAGCAGCTGAGACCATCCTGTCTGCTCAGCTGGTTTACGCCCTGTTCCGCAGACACAGGCAGAAGAGTCGGCCCCGGTACAAAGGAGCCTGGTGTCCAGGTGGCCAGTAGCTGTAGCACCAGTTCCTTCCGGGCCATCTCAGGGAGGGTCCAGAAGAGTCTGGAGCCGTCGCCACTGAAGCCACCCTGATGGGAAGGTTTGGGGGTGGTGGCTGTCTTGGGGTTGCAGATGGGCATTTGGGCAGAAGCAATCCAGGGGAAACTTGAGTCTCAGGGTCTCGCTGCCTCCTCAGAGGATGGACAGGGGCTAGGATGTGGCTGAAGTCTCCCCCTGTCACTTTGATTAGGACTGAAGCTGCTGTGGCTGCAAAAGATGGGAGCGAGGAGGAGACCCTGCCAACCCCAGACCCTGACCCTGGGGTGGGAGCGAGGAGGGGACTCTGCCAGCCCCAGATCCTGACCCTGGGGTGCGGTGGGAAGATGACCAGGAGGAGATGTGGACAGTTTCGCTCTTTTGCACCAGGTCACATCCGGGGCTGCAGAAGACACATCTCTGGTTTCCCAGAGCAGGGTGGGGCCTTTCCATGGTGTGCAAGCCTCATGGGTGGCTGAGTGCCTCACGGACAGAATGTCTCCCCCTGGGGCCCTGGTGGCCCTGGAGAAGCCCTGGGTGCTGGACGAGCACCTGTTCTCCCCTTGCTGTCTCTGCACCCAAGTGGCTGATCCAGGGATGGACAGACCCTGTCCTGGACGCCCCAGCTTCTTCCCACTACTTAATGGAGTTCTTAATCGTCCACCTCTGTCCTGTGCAGCTGCGAAGGATGAGGTCGATGCCCGCCAGGCCGCGGTTCTCCACCTCCAGGCAGCGTCCTGTCCCCTTGTTCATGATGGCTCCGTTCTGGGAAGAGAGGGACGAAAACGGAGAGAGAAAGAACAAGACAGAGAGTCACAGACAGAGACAGAGAGACAGGCATAACCGCCTCCATCCCTGGCACGCAGCTTCTCATTGGGATCCAATCCCATTGAAATTCCATGCTCAGGGGGAGGAGCTGGGGAGCCTCCTCTGGGTACCCTTAAGTCAGGAAATACAAGCTTCATCAAGTTCAAGTGGCTGAGCCAGGTGGTGAGCATTGGGTAGGGGGGTCAGATGGGGGTATTCTAGATCTGACTTTCTCAACCCCACTGGCTGTAGGTATTTAGCAGGTTTCCAGGTAATGACCCCATCCTCCCCTCTCAAGATTTATCAGACCCTAAGCCCTGGTGACACAGCGGTTAAGAGCTCAGTTGCCAACCAAAAGGTCAGCAGTTTGAATCTCCCAGCCGCTCCTTGGAAACCCTATGGGGCAGTTCTACCTGTCCTATAGGGTCTCTATGAGTCAGAACTGACTTGACAACAATGGGTTTGGTTTTTTTTGTTTAACCTAGCCCTCAGGAGCCCTGGTGGTGCAGTGGTTAAGCACAGGGTTGCTAATCGAAAGGTTGGCGGTTCAAATCCACCAACCACTCCACGGGAGAAAGATGCGGCAGTCTGCTTCCGTAAAGATTACAGCCTTGGAAACCCTATGGGGCATTTCTACTCTGTCCTATACGGTTGCTATGAGTTGGAATCGACTTGACAGTGGTGGGTTTTGGTTGGGTAACCTAGCCCTCATGGCGACCCCCTATGTGCAAAGTAGAACTGTGCTCCATACGGTTTTCATGGCTGTGACTTTCCAGAAGCAGATCACCAGGTCTTTCTTCTAAGGTGTCTCTGGGTGGGTTTGAACTTCCAGCCTTTCAGTTAGTAGCCAAGTGCTTAATAATTTATGCCACCCAGAGCCAGAATCAACTCCATGGCAATTGGTTTTAACCTCTGGAGTTCCTAGGTTAACAGGCTTGGCTGCTAACCAAAAGGTTGGAATTCGAGTCTATTCAGAGGCACCTCAGAAGAAAGGTCTGGAGATCTACCTCCAAAACATCAGCCATTGAAAACCCTATGGAGCGCAGTTCTACTCTGACACACAAGGGGCCGCCATGAGTCTGAATCAACTTGATGGCAACAATTTTTTTCTTTTTTTAACCCAGTTCTAGCACGGACTATAAACAGTATCAGGAAGGCTGTCTCCCACAGAAATCCCCCACTGATTCCCCGGAAAGTGCTCTGGGCCCAGGAGCCTGGCCAGGGGCTAGGAGACGGGGTTCCGGGCTGCACCTTGCCGGGTCCCCTTGGGGAATGCCTGCAGCATCCTCACCTGCCCTAGGTGGCTGGCCCGGGCCATGGAGCACCCACCTGGATGAAGTTCCAGCGTTTGTACAGGCTGCTCTTGACCTTGTCACAGTCGAGAAGCTGGGGGAGCCGACTCTTGGCGTTGTCCACCAGGCAGCGGGTGTCAGGGAGCAGTGTGGTGGTCCCCAGTGCTCCCAGGTGCAGGAAGCCTTCCTTGGTATAGCGGGCCAGCTAGGGGAGAGCAGGGGAGTGGGGTAGGGGTGGGGTGGGGGTGGGGGGTAAGGCGTGAGCACAAGGAGAAAGTCTGCAGGCCTCACCCACACCTACTGGTCAACACTGCAGAGACAGCCACCCTCTAGTCCCATCACACCCCTCCATGTACCCACCCCATAGGCGAGCCTGCTCCAGGAAGCCCTCCTGGCTTGCTGAGTCTGGATACAGACTCCCGGGGCCACTCCCTGACTGTTTCCTTAGCACGTCCTCAGTCAAGGTTTCAGGATTCTAGTTGCCTGTTCAGCAATGGGGGAGCAGGAAGAGGGAAGGAGCAAGGTCTCTGATTTCTAAACCTGGCGGTGCTTTCAGGTGGCTGGGCCATCTTGAACAAATCACTTCACCTCTCAGCGCCTCCATTTCCTCCTCATTTGTAAACTGGAATTAATCAAACCTACATGGCTGCAAGGGGCCCCTGGGTGGTGCAAATGGTTAATGAGCTCGGCTGCTAACTGAAAGCTGGAGGTTCAAGTTCACCCAGATTTGCCTTGGAAGAAAGTCCTGGTGATCTACTTTCAAAAAATCAGCCACTGCAAACCCTGTGGAGCACAGTTTTACCCTGACAGACGTGGGGTCACCATGAGTCAGAACCGACTCTACAGCAACTGTTTTTGTTGTTTTTACACTGTTGCAAAGGGCCCAAAGGGGCAGCTCACTGAGGAAGAAACAGGTATATTAGAAGGTATTTCATCTCATAGGTATTAAAAGAAATAAAAAACTAAAACAACGAGACACCACATTTTATAAAAAGAGATTATCCTCATTGCGGCGATGTTCGCACAATTCGGGACCTCTCATCACTGGGCTGGGGGGAGCGTAAATTACTACAATCTTTTTGGAAGGACATTTCAAAATATGCAGCTGGTGCTTTATAAACATCCCTCCCTCTTTGACTCAGTAAGCCCACTTTTAGAAATCTCTCCCAAGGACACAGCTGGAATGTGAACAAATTTCATAAGTGTTCACTGCAGCATGGAAAACAATGGAAAAGCAGACGCATCCTAAATGTGCACCACAATCCTGGTGCTTGCTTTCTTGTCCATGCGCTGCAGCAAACGAACGCTAGGAGACGGTGGTAGGTGGCAAAAAAAGGCCACGTCCTGCACTCTCCCCTGTGTGCGTCGTTTGCGATATGACGCAGCGGTTCCCATGAAGACGTGGGGGCTAGTTCCCTATCCCGTGAATGCTGGCCTCGTGACTTGCTTCGGCCGACAGAATCTGGCACAAGTGAGGGTGTGCCTGTTCTCAGGCTAGGCCTAAAAATGCCTTGCTTGCTTCCGCCAAGGCTCTTAGAACCCTGCGGCCAGCACAGAGTTAGCCCAGGCTAGCTGGCTGGGGGATGAGAGACAGTGGCCCAGCCACTAGCCGGTCCACCACTGGAGAGTAGATGAGGACCTCCTAGATCAGCCAGCCCTCCACTGACCTGCTAGCTTGAATTATGCATTCAAGAGATGCATGAATGAATGTATAAGGTCAGCCAAGCCTGACCCAGATCCATCCAGCTGACCCGTAGACTCATGAGCAATAATGAATGCACAGTGTTTGAAGTCACTAACTTTTGGGGTGGTTGTTACACAGCAGTCGCTAACTGATACAGAGATAGTCTGCCTGCCTGCCCTTCCTGCAGTGGGGCCCATAGTAGGTGTGGCCTCCCTCCCCCTGGCTGCTCGTTCATGGTGGCCCCATGTGTGTCAGAGTAAAACTGTGCTCCATAGGATGTTCAAGGAGTAGATTTCCAGGCTTTTCTTCCAAGGTGCCTCTCAGTGGACTTGAACCTCCAACCTTTTGGTTAGCAGCCAAGTGCATTAACCATTTACCCCACCCAGGGACTCGCTGTTGTTGTTGTTGTTAGGTGCTGCTGAGTCAATTTTCAACTCATAGCAACCCTATGCAACAGAGTAGAACCGCCCCATAGGGTTTTCTAGGCCATCTTTACAGCAGCACATGACCAGGTCTCTTCTCCCACGAGGCCGCTGGGTGGGTCTGAACCGCTAGCCTTTTGGTTAGCAGCCAACTGTTTTACCACTGAACCAACAAGGCTCCCTAGGGACTCCTTAGTCCAACTTAAAACACAACCAAAATGTATTGACCTGTCTTACACATTCCTTAGGGGCAGAGAGTGTGGGTAATTAATTTCATCCCTTGCCAGGAGCAAATCACACACCAAGTGCTCAAAACTTTTTTGTGGATGAGCACATTACACATAGGGTGAATGTTTTCATCTTAAAAATTCCGTCACATCTGCTCAGTTAAACTCCACCAGCATATCTGAAGAGTCTGTGTGTGTCCTGCCTGGGGACAGGCTTGGGAAGTATGCAGATGGGCTGTGTTCCCACGGAGATGATCCCAGTGCAGGCTGAGGGCCACACACAGCAGGCTAAGAGGCAAGCATGTTACTGCAGACTTGGCCCTACAGTCCTAGGAGGCGGCTAGGGTAGGAGTGACGATCATTTCTACGGCCGGAGCCTAATAAATTTAAAAAGTCAAAATACCAGCTAATGTGTACTGAAGGCATACTCCGCATCCTTTCTAAGCATGGTATGTTTTTGTTGTTAGCTGCCTCAGGTCAGCAACCCCATGCACAATGGTTTGAAATGCTGCCCAGTCCTTCACCATCCCCATGATCAGTCGAGGATGGGATCGTTGGGATCCATCCACACAGTTTTTGTTGGCTGATTTTTGAAAGCCAGGCCTTTCTTCCTAGTCTTAGTCTGAAAGTTCTGCTGAAACCTGCTCGGCATCAAGGCATCACGTACGCCTCAACTAACAGACGGGTAGTGGCTGTGCTTGAGATGCACTGGATAGGAATTGAACCCAGGTCTTCCATGTGGAAGGTGAAAACTCCACTACTGAACCACTGCCCCATAAGCACTGTATAACCAAAAATCCTATTGCTGTCTAGTGGATTCCAACTCATAATGACCCCATGTGTTACAGACTTGAACTGCTCCACGTGGTTATTTCTTGGCTGTAATCTTAATGGAAGCAGATCGCCAGGCCTTTCTTCTGCAGTACTGCTGGGAGTGTTCGAACCACCAACCTTTGGGTTAGTAGTTGAACAACTGTATAGAGAGCAAATAATGTAATTTTCACAACAACTCTGTAAGATAGCTTCCACTGCTCTGCCCATTTTACAGATGAGGAAATGGACGCATGAAGACATCTGGTCACTTGGGTGGATTTCTAGTCTGTAATCCCCTTTTGGCCTCTCTCCTTGGGTCCCCGGAGGCTCCATGGCCTGCCTGCCCTGGCCCAGCAGCTGAGCAGTAGAAGGGCTTCCTTGGGGCTTATGGGTGGTGTGGCCTCCGCCCCAGGGCCTGGGCGTTTCCACCAGGGGTGAAGCAAGAAGGCAGCTCTGTGGGGTGCAGGACTGGCTCTTCTCCTGGGGATGAAAGCCTCCGTGGGGGTCCCTGCCTCCTGGTGAAAGCCCTCAGAAACTTCCCTGTGATCCAGAAAGAGGAGCCTGCTCCCTCTGACACAGTGACAGAGAGTTTATTAAGTGCCCTCGAGAGATGCAGACAGCATGTGCTTTAAACCCAAATTAGTTCCAAATCAGAGTAATTGTCAGAGGCAAAATGGAAAGAAAATCAGAAGCCCTTCTTCCCCTGTCGAAACCAACGTCTCCCTGAATATATGTAAATTCACCGAACGCAGAGTGATGAGTGACGGCAAGCTGCCTTTATGTTCTGGGGAAAGATATACACAGCTGCTTATTGAAATTGTGAATCAATCTATTATCCAGCAGGCAAATGAGCAGCGCCAAGAACATTAATTAACTGAGCGTATCTGTGACCCAGATGTTTAAAGAGCGAAGCACAATGCCACTGAGAGCTGGAGGATCTCCTTGCTGAAGTCTGTCAGGGCATGAAAACAAGGGAACCCAGATACTAGAAACTGCAATGGCCAAACGGCACCCAGGCCAGCAGGTGTCAGGGTGGGCAGGGGCAGGGAAGGTGGCCCTGGGTGGGATTTCCTGTCTGGGAAATGTGCTGGGCCACTGCATAGGCCCTGTCTGTCTAGGGAGAAGCCCAGGGGCCGGCACCTGGCTTCATCTGATGACAGAGTCAGGGACAGGCTACTGTGGGGCTAAAGCCAGACCAACAAATCTAGCCCCCACTTCTCCTCCACTTGGCGGCAGGCTGGAGAGCGCTGGGACCTGACAGCAACCAAAAACAAACAAACAAAAAACTCCAAACCAGTTGCCCTGGAGCCCAGTCCCACCCCATGTGTGCAGAGTAGAACTGTGCTCCATAGGTTTTTAAGGCTGTATGACCTTTTGGAAGCAGATTGCCAGGACTTTCTTCTGAGGCATCTCTGATTGGATCTGAACCACCACCCTTTCAGTTAGTAGTTAAGCGGTTAACCATCTGCACCATTCAGGGACTTGACATCAGCCTCATCCCCCTTTTTGTCCTGGTCCTGGATCAGGAACCTTCCATGGTGACCTTCTAAGCAGGTCAAGTCCACCTACCACCGCTCCCTGACCCCAGGCCGAGACTCCACGCTCCCTCTCAAGCCCTCTGCTCCCTGCCCTCTGCATGTTCCACAGGCTTTCCTGCCTCCAGGACTTTGCTCCAGCTGTCTCCCTGCCTGGAAATGCTATTTATTGGCCTTCTTTCTAGAATGTTCTGGCTGCAACTTTCCTAGGCCTCAGTGCAATGATCTCTTCCACGATGTCTTCCCCAACTCTTCCAGCCCCCAGCTGTCTCCTCTCAGGTCTTCAGAGCAACTAGATCTGTATGCCGTACTGCCCCCTTTCTTGTCTTGGCTGACAGACATTGGGTCATTTCCACTTTTGAGCTATTATGAATAATGGTGCTATGAACATTTGTGTACAAGTTTTGTGTGAATGTATGTTTTCAGTTCTCTTGGGTATATTCCTAGGAGTGAAACTGCTGGGTCATATGGTAACTCTGAAGAACACTGGTGGCACAATGGTTAAGAGCTCGGCTGCAAACCAA